AACCTAATCTTAAAGACAGTATAATTCTTTTCATATGTAATCGAGTTGACTCATGAACCTAACGAGTCGAACTATGTATAGTTCAAGTTCAGCTCATTTAGTTAACGAACTTAATTTTTCGCTCATACTCAACTCATTTGGTTCATGAACTTAGTTCAACGATTTAATTGTCGAGTCGAATTCCGAACTATCTTCGAGTTGGTTTGGTTCATTGCCAGCCCTACCGAACAGTAACAATGCTTTGCTAAAAACTAGCAATATATCGCTTATAAGTTGCAATGGTTCCTAATTAAATGTTAACCAATGATATGACATACTATACCAATAATATTCAGCACGTAGCATTTAAATTAGAGATGAAAAAGTCCAAATATAATATTTATATTATTAATTCAAATAATACAATCATTCTATTTAATATTATTTTGGAAATTCTCTTACATCCAACTTCTTCGAAAGGTCGGTCCAAGAAGAAGTATGACAAGATCAATTCGACTGCTCTCGACCAAGATCGGGAAAGAGGCCGAGACGAGTGAAATTCGCTTCTGTGGTTGATCTTGCTAAAGGGGTAGGGAATGTTTTCCTCCGCTTGCGTTCCATGTTGGTTTGTCATTTTCTTCAGTCAATGAGGGAGATGAATAATCTCATGTCTGGTATAGATTATGCCTTCGTCAATTAACTATCTCATTCTGACACGTATGCCCTAGTAAAGGAGATAGTCATCGGTGTGATGAGGACAGTGTCACTACTTAACTCGTTGGTTACCGACTCTAAAGATTTTTTGGCACCTTTTGTGTCATCCTGGGAGGATTAATAGTTGAGGACTCATTATAACCTTGTTGGGGTAAGGAAGGTTGGCCTTGAGAAGGATTCTTTGAAGATGCAAGGTCGCTTAGAGCAAGCGTCCATCCTTTCTGAAAAAGAGCGTCTTCATGGATCTCCAACTAAATTAGCTGAGTCGATAAAGGATCTCAAGTACCAACATAGGAAGATGGAGGATGATGTCTATTATAGTGAGCTTGAAGCGAATATTTCATCTATTGTTTTTGGGGTATTGCAGGAGAGTTGGCTGGATGGGAAGAAAGCTTAAGGAAAATAGAAGAAACTCTTCGGGGTCAACATGTTGAGTTGGATGCTCAGTCAGAGGAATTTTCTTATGATGATCCTATGAAAAAGGATGTCTTTCAGAGTGTCTTGTGCCAATTGGAGTCTCTTGCCCCTAGACTTCTTGCCTTTCGCGCTTCCTTCTAGCTTTTTCAATTATTTTATGATGTATTATGTTATCAAGTACCTGCACACATAATTTCATATGTGGTTGTGTTTGTTGTAATTAGCATTTCAAATACCTTGTTGTATTTGACGCTTTGATTGTTTACATTTTGGAAATAGGGCTCGTGTCCGGAGAGATGTGGTTATGCCTTTGTACTGCGCTCTGTCACGGAGGATCATTTCCCAACCAAGAGTAGAGGGTCCAAGTCCTTGTTCTTGAGGTATGACTCGAGTCGAGATGGACGTCTTCGGGTTCCACCATTCACGTCCCTTGGATTTAGTAGATCTGAATAGGACGTGTGGTGGCTACGTAGAAATGCATGTAATATTTGACTATGGGGGTATTTGATTGTTGTAGTCGGACATACAAAACGTCTCCGACAGCACCCTAGGGGATTTGGTTGTTGTATTCAGACGTGAAAAGTGTATCTGACAGCTCCCCTAAACTCTTTAAGTGTGCTCAGTGCAAAAAGGGGGGATCAATTGTTGTAATCGGACATGTAAATCGTCTGAGACAACACCCCTGGTTGTTGAAACCTGCCTCTACTTTTTTAACACCATGTAGAGGGAAAAATAAACAAACAAAGTGAACATCCAAACAATAACATAAAGAAATTGCATTCAAATGTTTGTTAGTTTTCATATTAGCGAGGCTATACAAAGAAATATGTCAAACTCTCATTTAACTATAATGCCATTTTAATTTGGTTATGTTCCATGTCCTCGATATCTACTCCCCTTTCAGAGACTAACAAATAAGCTCTTTACCCGCTGCTTTCTTTCACCTGATATGATCCTTCCCAATTTGCCGCTAGCTTGCCATCATGGGTGTTCTTGCCCTCGATGTCGGCCCTTCGCAGTATGAGGTTCCCCCCGCTGGGATTATCTATGTCGAACATGGCAGTTGTATCTGGAAGATGTGGTTTGCTTGATGATGACACGGGTGTAAGAGGCTAACATCATTTTCTCTTATAAGAGGTCTACTTCTTCTTTATGGGTGATTCCATTAGTTTTCTCAAGAAAGGGGTTAGTTGTCCTCAAGGTCAATTCTTTAATTTCTGCTAGGATGACTGGTTCCATGTCATACGTGAGCTGGTACAGAGTCTCACTCGTCGTTGACTAAGGGTAGTACGGTAAGCCTATAGAACGTGTGGTAGTTCATCCGCCTAGTTTCCCTTAGCTTCTTCTAGTCTCTTCTTCAATCATCTTGGCCGTCTCCACTTGGCCATTGATTTGGGGATGTTCGATTAATGAGACGTACTGCTTGATTCTCAATTCTTCCAGTAGATTCTTAAATTTTCCGTCTATGAATTGTGTCTCATTGTCTGCCACAATGGATTGGAGAACTCCAAATCGGACCAAAATGTTCTTGAAAAATTTTAAAACATTTTCTGTCGTGATTTTTGCTAAAGCTCTGACTTTGGTTCATTTGGTAAAATAATCAACGGCTACAATTAAGTATCTGAGTTGGCCAAGCGCTGAAGCAAAAGGACTAAGAAGGTTCAATCCCTATTGCATGAACGTCCAAAACATGTCCACGAATATACAAGTGTTTGCGTGGAGATTACTTTGAAACAGGCTGAAAACCAGAGATGAGCTAGCGAAATGTGGTGCATTGTCTGGAGCGTACAATCTTGTTTACCCTCTTTACAATAATATATAATACAGTAACTTACCCTCTTTACAATAATATATAATACAGTAACTATTTGGAACCATATTCCTGTCTGGTTTGGTTTATGCAGGTTACCCTCTTGTGAAGCTTTATCTTCTAATCTAATATGATTGGTATTGCTAAAAAGAGGTCTTCTAATCTAATATGATTGGTATTGCTAAAAAGAGGTGGTGGATTTTGATCTGGTTGTAGACTGATTGGTCAATTTGGTTAGCCATAAACAATATTCTTTATAAAGGCGGCCATAAATGAGCAGTGGAAATATCTTCTTTGGCCAAGTCTATTTTGTCGAAAGACTAAATAACTTCTTTGTTGTCGTACGTAATGTGTTGAGTTGTTCTCTCTTTCTTTTGTATTTGGGTTAAACACCCTAGTACTTGCTTTTAATACAATCTTTAAAAACTTGAATTATCAACCACAAGAAAAGTGATGAACTAGTTTCAAATATTACCAAAACTAATATTTCTCTTTGACGGTCGTTACTCGTACTTCCCTCCTATCGTTGATGCCTCTTGTCAATTTCAGAATCGAATCTAATTACAAATCTGGGGCGGAGAAGACAGTGAGAAAAAGCAGGAAATAAGAAGTACCAAATATTGCAATAATATATGATACAGTAACAAAAGAAGTAAAATAACCAAAAATTGCCTTCTTGTACTACCACAGATTGAATTCTCCCTTGAATAATATTTCACAGTTGTAAGCTAGTACATGGAATGGTATTATGATGTAGAAAATTACATGACAAGTATTATTTTTGTATCACCAAAATTCATGAATCTGCCAGCACAAACAATAAAAATTTCATCAAGGAAAACTCAATGCGCAGCAGTAGTTAGCAATGTACACATGCCACGGAACACTAACTACCCTACCTAATTAATTATATCATCACATCCTACCAAACATTATTATACAAGAAATGTGGGAACAAAAACTCCCATACTACATCAGTAGGATTTCCCACGCCCTTCCACTATAATCCAACTGTTAATCTCCAACCTTCAAACACCAACTAGGCAACCGTCTCCATCATTATCTAATCTAACATCTAACATCTGCAATATCAAATATACACAAATTAGCACTGTTTATGATTATTCACTTCATACAGTAAGTTAAATACTACAAAGCTTCTTCAGTTTCAAACATAATGCTATATATAATTTACAATGCATAAGAAAAAGAAAATGCTAATGCTGAGAAAAGTTCATAAGATAAAGCCAATTTTACATTATACTCTATCCTGGAAGGAATAACTTCCTGGAACCAAGTATTACAAGGCAAGAAACTAAAAAAAAGTTTGGAGAGTTGTCTTTACATTTTAATAGTGCCTATAAAACTGTTACTAATATAACACTTAAAACTCCAATTCAGCAAGTATGATAATATACGAACTTGAGTAAGAGACCCAATGTGACAAAGGGGACAGACTCCAGCAAATTTCACATCTATTTTGTCAGACAAAGAAATTGCTAATAAAAAAAAAACATAATAGAAGAGCACCTCAATTGTAGTATCCAAAGGGCACAAGTAGAAAGACAAACATTCCCTAAAACAAAAACAGATTGTTAATCTAAAAGCCCGTGAATTAGGCTCACTAAAAATTGTTTTCCCTCAACTCACAAGAATACCATATTTCATAAAAAGCCATGCATTATAAAAGGTTAGGAAAAAAGAAGAAAATAAGCCTAAATTACTAGTTTGAAAAATTAAATGATAATTTTCAAGCATAAAAACATGCCTATAACTATTAACGCTTTATCATTAAATTTTCAATATGAAATACATGCACAGATCATTCAGCTTAAACTTGTACCGATTTACAGGCCAAAAACATAAGAAATGCATTTGACACACTGCATGGCAAACAGCATTAGTTGTTATCAAGCACCAAATTCATTATTCAGTTTTTTCAAAGAAAGAAAACAATCTGCTTAGAAGCTACTACATCGCTCTTCTTTCGAACAAAAAAGCAGAATAGAAGCGGGAACAGAAGGTATTAATAAACAACAAGCAGGCACAGAGCAAAAATGTAACTCTACCTAGCATTATATCAGGTTCCTTGTGACCCTGCATCAGATCCCGAGGCTGAGGAACTGTCACTATCAGAATCTGCAACAGCACATACAAATGAGGAAGAAGGAACGTCTGATAACAACAATTACCAAAAGCAAGAATGTGAAATTAACAGTTGAGATGTTAATCAAAATACCACTTGAAGAAGACCCGGAATCACTGCTTGAGCTGCTCGAACTACTTGATCTACTTCTATTATCTGCTTGACTTCCCCCTTGCATAGGTAAGGATGGGGGAACATTTCTTTCATCTGCACAGAAACCAAAAAACAAGGTATTTCAATTAGAAAATATAAAACATATAATAATCTGAAATACCAAGACTGATTCAAATTTACCTGCTTGTGGTTCTCTAGAAATCTCTATCATAGCTGGTGGCTGGCTCTACAGAAAGTAAGAGATAATATGTTTAGCAAAAATTGCTTCCCAAAGTATATGCATTACCAAATATTATAGGTTAAAATCCAATTCCTTACCCTCTGGATGGAATTCTGCAAAGCTTCTGCTCTAGCTCGAGCAACTTCAGCCCTCCTCTTGTTTTTGCTCAAACTTTTCTTATAGTTGGTCACAAATCTATCAAGCTCCCAAAGAGTCTCAGCATCCACGCTATCAATGTCCACTTCAATTTCATCATCATGTTGATTCAAGGCTAAATTTCTCCTCTTAATGATGTGTACAATAGCATCAAGCTTCTCTGGAGGTAAACCCTGCAGGTTTGTGCTTAGTTTTTGCTTTTCATCAAATGTCATGTCTCTTTTATTGGGATCTTTTGCCTTTGGTTTTTTTGGAGCTGGGGTTCTACTTGATGGAGTATTGTTCATAGATCTTGGAGTTCGTGCCAAAGATTCGGATCTGTCCAAAATTCGTCGCATATCTAGAGGTGGTGGAGTAAACATAGGAGCCCTTCTAGGCAAAGGTGAAGGTGCACCATACTCCATGCCAAATCTCATCTCACGATTGTAATCTGACTCTATTATAGCCCACCTGTCCTCGAAAACCTTTGATAATTGCTCTGCCATTACATGAACATCCTGCCCCTCTGGATTGTATGTCATAGCATTATCAAAAGTGAGTCTCACATCCTCTGCAAATTCCTTCGGTGATTTGTACCAATTCTTGTTCAGCCTTGTCTTCACAGTTCCTAAGTCCATTGGATGAGTGATGATGGTAAAATAGTCATGCAAACCAAGACCCTCAACATCAACAGGAGAATTAAACACCCACCCATGCTTGTGTTTCATCAGTTTTTCAAGCAGTGAACTACAGCTCTTGAAAAACTTGGATCCCATTCGAAGCCCGGGACCCATTTCTCCACCACCTTGCTTCTTCCAATTCAATTTTGACTTCTTGTTGCTCTCTGCAGGTGGGAACTTATCTTTTGCAAGCAGGAACTCTGAGTTATGATAAAACTGGTTTGCTTTAGGCATTCTCTTTTCCTTCTCAACATTTTCACTGACCCCTTGACTATTATGGAACATTGGAAAACTTAACTGGTGCAAAGGTCTGGTAGGTTGTCGTGAAACACCAGCAGATGCTACCTCTGAGTGAGCACGCTTTGCTCCACCTCCATTAGAGATCCCACCACCCAACACTGCATTTGAATTGCCATAAACACCTACATTTGAATTGCCATAAGCACCTACATTTGAATTGCCATAAGCACCTACATTTGAATTGCCATAAGCACCTACATTTGAATTGCCATAAGCACCAACATGCCCCTGTTTCACTTCAATCCTCTTGACCAAATTTCTCACTACACCAAGCTCACTTTCAAGCTTCCAGCGTATCTCTTGTTTCTCCTGCTTTGACTTCAAGGCCAGATTGATCTTGAATCGGTCCTCTTGACTCGGCTCCACAGTCACATTCTCGGAATGTCGGTACCCAGTGCTAGGAACTGCCCCATGCCCATAAATGGGGCTCGAAGGTCCATCATCCTCCTGCTGAACATTGTGGTTAGAAGGTTCAGCCTGCTGATGGCTCTGCAAGTCATCAGAAATCTCCCTGTGACTGTGTATGGGGCTCGAAGATCTATCATCCTCCCGCCGAATATTGATGTTAGAAGGCTCGGGCTGCTGATGGCTGTGCAAGTGGTCAGAAACTGGCGGCGAGGGCGGTTGAGCCAGATTCTGATCCTCTAATGAGGAATTGACTAGTGGTTGAGGTGAACTCCCTTCCTCAAATCTCAAATTTACTTGTGGCTGAGACAAATTCTCATCTTCCAATATTGAATTATCTTGCTGCAGAGAAGCCCTGTCCTCCAACTTTGAAATTAATTCTGGGTGAGGCAAACTCCCATCCTCCAATCTTGAACTCACATCTAGCTGAGACGTGTTCCCATCATCTGGTCTTGAATTTTCCTGAGGCTGAGGAGAATTCACTTCCTTATGTGTTGAGCTTTGAGGCCAAGGTGAATTCCTATCCCCTGCTCTTGAACTCACATGTGCCTGAGCTAAATTCTCATCCTCAAATTGCAGCTGGGGTGAATTCCCATCCCCTGTTCTCGAACTCACTTGTGGCTGAGCCAAACTATGGTCCTCAAATTGCTGCTGGGGTGAATTCCCATCCCCTGCTGTTCTCAAACTTGCCTGTGGCTGATGTAAACTCTGCTCCTTTAATTGCTGCTGAGGTGAATTCCCATCCCCTGTTCTAGAACTCACTTGTTGCCCAACCAAATTCTGGTCCTCCAATTGCTGTTGGGGTGAACTTCCATCCTCTAATCTTGAATTCTCCTGTGCCTGAGCTGTATTGCCATCCTCAAATAACTGCTGGGGTGAATTCCAATCCCCTGTTCTCAAACTTGCTTGTGGCTGAGCCGAATTCTGCTCCTCCAATTGCCGCTGAGGTGAATTCCCATCCCCTGTTGTCAAACTTGCTTGTGGCTGAGCTGAATTCTGCTCCTCCAATTGCTGCTGAGGTGAATCACTATCCCCTGTTCTTGAAATCACTCGTTGCCCAACCAAATTCTGGTCCTCCGATAGCTGTTGGGGTGAACTTCCATCCTCTAAACTTGAACTCTCCGGTAGCTGAGCTGTATTTCCATCCTCTAATCTTGAACTCTCCGGTGGCTGAGCTGTATTTCCATCCTTTAATCTTGAACTCTCCGGTGGCTGAGCTGTATTTCCATCCTCCAATCTTGAATTCCCTTCAGGCTGAGCTAAATCCCCATCCTCCAACACCGCCAATTGAGGAACCAGTGGCTGAGCCAAAACATTACTCTTGGCTTCATTGTTGTTAACGTTCTTGTTGTCGTCAGTATCATTGGTAACTGTAGTAGTAGGGGCGTTGTCGTCTTTAGCAGTTGTGGTGGCAGAAGCTACGGTGTCCCCTACGTTAGGGTTTTTTTTGGTGCCTCTGAAAACTCTCCTTCTGTAAACCTTACCTTCGATGTATCTCTGCCTCTCTTTAGCTCCATCCGTGGGCCCCGAAGCCATACATCCAAAACCCTAATTCAAACACCAATCCAAAAAGTCCCCAAAATCCTAGGGTTTTACGCACCTTCAAATCGAACAGTCTCGTAAAATACAATAGCAAAAGAAACAAAAATCAAAACCCTAAAATTTTCGGGCTTCTCCCACCGTCAAATCAATCCTCAAAATTTCTAGGGTTCACTCGTAACCTTATCAGAACCAATAGAGAAACGAAGAACCAGAATCATAAAAAACGTATCGAGAGAGAAAGATTCAGTAGGGTTTCGAAGCTGGTTTACCTTGTTCCGATCAGATCTAGCACTCTCTCACTTTCTCTCTCTAGAACTTGTCGACTTTCTCTCTCCTTCTCAAAACGATCGTCGTTTTATTGAATCTACACAGGTGTACGACAACGGTGGGTTCGTGAGAGACCGTGGACCATGTTACGCGTTTGGGGGTGCACCTAAGAATCGTGCCTGTGAAGCATTATATCGCCGAATATTCTGGAAGTGGCCTCACTCGAAACAAGTAAGCGTGTTTAACACGCACCAGTTGGATTGGACATGGCTAGCAGCGTGAGTTTCACGCGGAAAGAGAAAGGGAATGGACTTTAATGGCGGGGATTTTCGTTGCGAGAATTTGAAAAGTTTTCGCAGGCGGTGGAGTGGAGCGTGTTGAGTACTCTCCGAATCGGAGTTTTTTATATGCCGATCAGTTGTCGGAAGGTTTGCACACGCGCTAGTTTTGCGCTTGGAGAGTGTCAGTGCCTTTTAATTGCCTTTTTGTCGTAGTTGGGTGTTTTTTGGGCTTTTAAAGCCTGGGTCAAAGCCTGAATTTTAAGATAATGTAATGTTTGGACAATCAAAATAAAAATTCTAAAATACTTTAACGAATTTTTAATTTTTAGATTTGTTGTTTGAATACATCAATTCAATAAATATTTGGATGAATTCCGGTTTCTAGAAACTTAATTCAATAAATGTCTGTTTGAGATTTCTTTAAAGAATTTTATTATCTGTTGTGATTTTTATATAATTAAAAGTATGATAACTTGTCTTTTTGTATTAGTATTTCTATTGATTAAAAATATAATGTGTTCTAAAATTTAACTTAACTCAGATCGATTAAAAAATTGAATGTAGGGTGTGATAGGAAGGTCATAAGACAAAAAATATATTTGATTTAAATAGTATAATCAGATCGATTTATCAATCGAATTAGTGAATCGACGAATTTGTTATATGTATATGTGTGTAGCACGTGTGTAATTAATTTAAATTTAATAATTAAGTAAAAAATATTAAAAATTTATAAAACATAAAATACGTTTATATGACTTATACTTGCTAAACGTACAATGAGTATCAACATCGAACTGTGTAGAGTTGTTTAAGGGTTGTATGATTGTTGTGGTGGCAGAACAAGCAAGGATGATGAGAAGCTTTGTGTAAGGGTGATTGCTAAATAGATTAAATGTCATCCTCAACTCAATGGTTGAGGTATTTATAGAAGGCGATTGGGTCTGGATCTTAGGACTCAAAAGTGTGGTTATCGTATCTTTCTTACGAAGTGGAGTTGTTGCACCCCAAAATTTGCTCAACCTTTTCTTACCTGATTTATGTTTCATTGCATTATCATTTGCATAGTTATATCATTTGCATATCATGATATTATTCATATAGCAGGGGATCAAGTGTTGTTCTTGTCAAAAGAAGCCTAGCAAGAGGTCTCATTCAAGATTGAGAGTTATCAAAGTCATCAGAAGGTGGTTTGAGTGCCTAAGGGTTTAGATGTTTGAGTGTGAATCTTCTCTTAACTTGAGGATCAACTGAAGACCATCAGAGGGTTGTGAAGTGTTGAATGTGAGAAGAGGGTGTGTATGAAGCTCATAGAATGCCTAGAGGGCCATGGGAGAGTTTAATCAAGTCATTGTGTCAGATGCAAGAGTCATAGTTGAGGTGCAAGCAATTAGGGTTTCATCTGGTTAATCCTAGGCCAAAATGAGTAATTGAAGAAGATCAAAGCCTACTTCTAGGTCATTGAGATCAGGAAATGACATGTTGAGGCATATGAGAGGTTGTCTCAAGATCAAGTTGAGAAGAATCGAGAGTGGTTGGAGTTGCTAAGTCAGGGTTCCTAGGGTAAAATCCCTTGTTTAGTGCCTAACTTCAAGACCACATAAGTCAAGATACAAGTTTCAAATGGATCTTTGACCAACATGAAACTTGTAGAGCATCTCAATACCTTTAATTTGAGTACTAGAAGTCCTCCATTGGATTTATAGAACTCAAGTTATGGCCCAGACAAGTTACAAGTCCTTAGATGCCACTGAAATTTGTCTGTGAAAATCGTCTGACTTCAAAGTTATTTTTGACCTAAAGGAGGTTTCACCTTAACTTTTGGCCAACATGAAAGTTGTTCCTCATGATTTTAGATTTCTAAATTGTACTAGACGTCTTTCATCTGATTTGTAGAACTCAAGTTATGAGGTTTACAAGTCAGGGGTATTTTGGGAAAGTGAGATTATATGTCATTTTCAATCATAGGCCAAAATCTCCAACTTGCACTTGTCAAATGCAATTTTGTTCAACATGAAAGTTGCTTTAAATGGGGTTTTTAGGCTAGCTAAGTGGTCATGTGGGATTTGTTTGGTTTGTAGCAAAAAGTCACTTAAAATGGCCTAAAAAAGGGAATTTTTCAAATGGGTTAAGGAGGGAAAATTGACTTTTTGAGTTAGAGGGCCAAAACATGTCATGTGAGTACATTTTTTGAATGGAAATCACATTCTAAGAACATTGGCATTGGCAGAATTTTGAGCATAGGCCAAGTTTTGGGAGTTGTCATTTAGATTACTTCACCATGAAGTTACATAATCAAAAATAGCCATTGGATCAAATACAAGGATCAAATCCCAGCCATTCACACTCCACGTGCTGTTATTAGTTGAATTGAATCATTTTGGAGCCAAAACAATGCCATTTTCGTGTACATTCAAGAGCAAAAAGTGGTGAAATTTTGAAAATTTATTTTGGGCCTAGAGGCAAGGATTGGGCTTTCTCTTGATCTATATCCATTGTATATAACATTTCTAACCTTCACAAATCATCAGTTTTCGAAATTGGAGCAGAATTGATCAAGAACAAGTTTGAAAAAGTGAAGAAAATTCAAAAAGTGAATTCTAAGATCTAGGTCGTTTCAAGCCAAATTGTGAATTGAGAAAGCTTTATTGAAGATCATTGAACGATTCTGGAGAGTTTTGCGAAGCTTCATCAAGGATTAAAGGCTCAGTGGAAGTTCTCCACTAGGTACTTGAATTTCACCATATCTCTCTTAATACTTGATGATTCTTTGTCATTTTTATTTCTTTGCACTCCTTGAAGCATGTAGATCATTTATGGATTATAATTGTTGATGTTTATGACGTTCGAAATTTGGAGCTCCAAACTTGTGAGATTTTGTATGGACTGTTTTGGCATGATTTTGCTTAGTTTTTGCTTGATCTATAACCTCCATGACATAAGGTTGAGTTTAAAATTAATTTGGAGAGGTTTTGATGAATTTGAGTTTTTGGTACCAAACTTTGTTTGATTCGTTTCTCTTTGATCTTGCATTATTAATAATTTTGGATGAGATATTTGGAATCCTCGCGAGAAGTAGATGAATTTCGACGTAAATTTCATGCGAAACGGTTGAGTTTTGTGGAAGTTGTGGTTGTTGGTGGATTTCCGGCGAGCATGGCGGAGGAGAGGCCGGCCGGAACTGTTCCGGCGAGTCCAAGGAAGAAGATGAGTTTTGCACCGTCCAATCGCCATTCTTTGTTGACGTTTTCCGCACATCAAGCGGCTTCGCGCGCGCCACGTGTGCACGCCTCAAACGGCGTCGTTTTGGCCTGAAAAGGGGACCAAGCGCACGCCTGTTCGAGTCCTACCCCCGTGCGTTTTTCATTCTTTCTGCTTTACATTTTCACTAACTCACCATTTCCATTTTCCATTTAATTTTCTTTTTTTCTTTTATTTTTCTGTTTTGGTAGCTGTTTGAATTAATTACATAAAAAATAGTAAAACTAATCAAAAAATTATGAAAATGTTTTTTGTAGTTCCTGAATGTCTTAAGAAATTTTAGGCGTTGATTTTACATTTTTAGGATTTAATTTGAATTAGTTATGATTTTTCTTTTGTGCTAATGTCCTTTGTTTTACATATTTGACCATCTATTTTGTAGAACTTTATTCTTCCATTTGGTGATGAATTTGGCTTTGATTTTTTAGTATGTTTTAGGGTAGATATTCATGTTCCCTTAGGAGTTTTATTAGAATTTTGGAACAAATTTAGGTTCTGTTTTAGGTGTTGATATTAGAGCCTTCCCAAACTTATGGATTACCTTGATACATTTCAATCTAGAATTTATTTAGGTGACTTAGAAGTTGAATTAGGCTTTAATATTTTAACCTTAGGCTGTTCAAGCATGTATGTTCCCCTAGGAATTTTATTAGAATTTTACAACATTGTTTTCTATTTTAGTTGAATTTTTCAAATTGCTTGTGTTTGTGTTGTTCTCTCTTGAGTACCTTTGCTTGTTTGGCTTGGTTGATGACTTTGGAGCTTGCTTGGCTTGGAATCCTTTTTGGGAGGTCTTCTGGACTTGATATAGATGCTATGGCTTGAAGATTGGAGCTTGGAGTTGGAGTTTCCTTTTCTTTTAGGAGTTGTTTTAGGAGCTTAGGAATTAGGGTTTTAGGGAGAACCATTAGAGCTAGTTTTGATTTTTTTTCATTAAACATAGAATGCATTGTGTGCTTCTATTCCATCCAATGACATAAATTCCTCCTAGGGAAACTCCATCTCTCCTTTGGAGGGATGTGTGGTATGCCCATAGTTGAGTAGAACTTTGAGGATACCTTTCCATTTCAATGTTGATACTTGATGATTTCCTTTGGTTTTCATTAAGTTTTCAACATTTCAACCTTGATCTTGGTGATTGTTCCTCTGCTTGGAGTGTGCTTGCTAGAGCTTGAAGATGAAGTT